TTGCATGTAAACACTTATGGAGAGATTACATGTGGCTCGGAACAGATGAATGGCTCTTTATGCAGACTGTTTGCACCCAGGGCCGCTCATCTATCCCTAACTGCAGATAGTCACTCCATAGACATGCGGACAGCTGTTTTGCCTCTCAGCCTGTCAATAAAATGTACAGGCTGATCAGCCACAGAAGTACTCGCCACAGAAGTATGCTGAGATGGGTGGTGTTGTACGGCCATGACGTCTCTGGTAAATGGAAGGAATTAAGGGAGATTTATCATGAAAAAAGATTGGGTGATAGGGGCAAAAACACAGGGTAAGTCCATGGATTTAAGAGTCAGTCTACATGGCTGTGTTTTATGTTTTTTTTACTGTATTCATTCAATGTAAATTTTTGTTAAAGCTCTTATGACTGAGAATATTATCTGTTCTTCTGACATCCACGTCTGTCAACACAATCCATGTATGTGAAAACTAGCAGACCAAGAAGAAGTATAGCAATTGCATTGTGCCCTTTCTGGCCTTTGGATGCAATATCAGAATAAATAAGCAGTGTGTAACTTGGTGTCCTTCTGCTGATTAAACAGCTGGACAGGATCAGGACTTGTAAAGGGTCATTTGTGTTGTGGGATGTGTGTGGTTATACAGCTCAACTGAGAGGCGCTGTTATCTTCAGCCATGTTATTGCTAGGTTTAAGAAGATTAGCTCAGTTCTGTTCTAATAAAGAAATCTGTACACATTGTGTTCCCCCCTCCTCCAGACTTGTCACAGGGTAAGAGCTGAAATGTTCCATCATACTCCAAAATACTTAAGCTCCTTTTTTTTTGTGCAAAATCTTAGGAATTTGTTTCAGTTATGTTCTATTTAATATCATAGTTAGCATATACCATGGATGCTGTTCTTGAAACTTGATAACAGTAGCAAAACAAATTGACATTTGTCCAAGTTTTCCTTTCTTTGGCCTTCTCAGTGGGCTTAATAGATGATACAGCTCCAATGCCTAAGAAAAGATTGTTTCTTACTGATTTGTGGGGGAAAAGCCCTTCATTTAACAAAACTTTACCACACTAGAGGCTTGCCTACGTGAATCATCAGTGTTGCTTTACACAGAACGTAGAGGAAGGAAGCCAGGTCATTGCGCACTGGTTGTCATTCTGAGAAATAGGTCTGTGAGTGGGACCTTTGTCATTAATTATTACCACTATCTTCTGCCACTGGAAGTTAGCTATCCAACACTATAACCCCAGCAATGGCGATGTTGGTGACTCAGGAACAGGGTGCCTAAGCCTAATAACACCTGTGTGTTTTTGGTTGCCAAAGGATTTTACCCGTCTCCATTGTGGCCTTGTGCCCAGGGTTTGTCCAGCCTTCAAAAACTTTGAATGCCTATTCTCTCCCTCACCTTTTGCAGGAGTTACAATCCAGAATACAATAACAACATAAAACTTACTTATGATAGCCTACTGCGACAGCTTTGTACTAGCAGCACCCTTCTCTCCAGCACAGAGTTAATAACAGGCACTCCAACATTCAAAGGGTTAAAACGTATTCAAATAAGAGATATTGTCAAATGGGCACATGTTTTAAGCATCAAAGAAAATGTATTAAACTGCAATTCTAGAAAATAAGCAAGGTAATCATTGAGTTAATAACCAGCTATTAACACATTCCTACACATTGTAGCTGTGCCTAAATCAGATAGTTCAGTCAATTTGCCTTAAAGTGGACCTTCACTCTAAAAAAATGTGTTCCCCTTAAACCCTTGCCCCTGACATGAAAATCCTAAATTTTTTTGTGCTTACCCCCTTTGTTTTTTATTCTTCACATTCCGGCCTGCCCCCACTTTCTATTCTCGCTTAGACAAGAATGACATGCTCCCCTCCTGGTGCCTCCTGGGATATATATGTCACATGTCCCATGAGGCATTGGCTTCCATACAGCAGATGGAGAATGAGGGCAGGTCTAGCGTAGCTTCATCAGGGGACTGGCTACATGAACCCAGGAGAGACAACTTGCTCCCGATTACATCGGGTAAGAAGATGGTGGCATGGGACCCAGTGTAAAATGTGGCTCATAGCAGGACAAGACTGGATTCCCTGGTGGGTGAGTATGTGAATAGAGGACAACCCAGGATTAGGTAAAAGGGGAATACATTTTTTTTTTAATGGTGAGGCATAAAGTTCCTCTTTAATTTGAGTTCTCTGTAATACACCACAGCAACAGCACACAGACCATCTCACAGGATCAAGATTAGAGCAGGAGGAGTATACGTCCTAAAGCCTGTGTATCCCCTCTTTCTCTCTGCTTCCTTCATCACCAATCACATTCAAGTGTTCTAGGTGGGTTTGAATTTAATTGACACCTGTGAGAAACATCTTGGGATTGACATTTTCACACAATAATATCTCTATGTGAGAAGCAGCACTGGGGGTGTTCCAGCATCACAAGCCGGTACATTCTAGGATCAACAGATTACCGAAAAAAGCAGTGAGGAGGATTTATACATGATAGCAATCCTGGACAAGAAAACAAAGTACTGGATTTAGGCTGTTCTTTCTGCTTGCATCTCAAAATTCATTTTTTAATTAAGGCCTGAGGTAACCTTTAGGATTTTACAAAATAAAATACAAAGTAATGCAAATGGCATACTTTACATTTGTAAAACACTTGCAAAATCAAAAGAAACAATAGAATACCTATACATCACCAACGATGAATTACAGATCTTCTGTTTCCTGGGACAGGTTGAATAATGGCTATACTAGTGACAGGTGCCCAAAAACATAACAATTTTGCTCTAGTGCTTCAAAATAGGGTTAATCAACAGAACATTTCCCCTGCCAGCTAAGACTAGCAGAGTTGTTAAATTTCGCTGGGCCAAATTAGGTTTTATTACCTTTTAAAGCTTATAGACCAGCTCAGCATTTAAACATTTATAACTGTGTATCTGGACATGGTACATTATTGATAAAATGATTATCCTAAAACATTATTGTGCATCTACTTACACCAAACATCAGCATAGTGTATATTCCAATATCCAAATAGCCAGGGCCCCAATGGAGCTTTTAGCCATAATGTGCTAGCATGCACAGCATATTAACACATTATGGCAGATTTACCTGCTAAAACGATCCCCTACAGAACTGCACTTTTCCTTCAGCAGCACTTCCATTTGCTCCCTGATCTTCCGGGTTCAAGCGTTCAGCCGCTTGATTGACCGGGCCCTGATGATATAACTCCCAAGCATGCGCACAGTAGTTACTTACTATAACTCCCAAGCATGCCGACTTAGAGAAAAAGAAAATTGCTGAAAGGTAGAAAGAACACAGTCTCTGCCAATCGGCAGTTTTTTTTGTTTTTTAAACCTTTACTTTTTCTTTAAGAGAACCAGTTGAACCAAAGGGACATAGTATGCATTTTCACTCTTGTGAATATATTATTGCAGCTTTAAAGGTTATGGATGGCTCTCTACCTGTCTTAGTATAAGTGTCAGGCTGAGTTTCAGGCTGGAAGACCTACACAGGCTACCCTATCCCCTGCGTGAGGTCAGTGCTGATAACAGACATTTATAATGTTGTCATATAACAAAGGTACTGTCAGGATTACATAAAAGTAAAATAAAGGCTTTCTTAATTTACAGCCTGAAGCAACCTGGAGAGAGTGTCTGCTGTCAGCACGGAGCTCAGGCAGTGGCTTTAAAACCTGGCACTTAGCCTGACACTTTTGCCCTGACAGGAAGAGAATACAAGTAACTAATAAAAAGTAGTCCCTGAGAGTAAAAGTTGCAGGCAGGGCCTGATTTCTATCACCAGATCCAGTCAGCACACAATCGGACCAAAGGAACTCCCCTCTGCTAGGATTAACTTGCTTTACACAGAACATTATTTCTGCTTTACAGGTCATTGCCTAGCCTAGAATATTGTATTTTAGTAAATACATGATGACTGGTAGTTCTGCTGATGGTGGGGAAAAAAATGTGTGGTTAATGACTGTAGAGGAAAAAGCTGCCTCTTTTCCTGCGATGCCTATAGCCATATGCCTACTGTGCCTAAGGGTAAATTCAACCCTAGTTGCAAGATATAAAATGTAATAGGGTTACTCACAAAAGAGTGAAGAGTTTGTAGAAGGCTGGAGAAGTGAACAATTTAGGACAAAATAGCTGATTTAGAAAAATTCTCCAATTCAGCTGACTTTCCAGTTCAGCTATATTGTCCTAGATTGTTCACTTCTCCTGCCTTCTCCAAACTCTTCACCCTTTTTTGAATAACCCTATAAATGTGGATATTTAGAAGTTTACAAATGCCCATGCTTGACTGGATCTCTTTAGGACATTTCAGACCTTAGCAGTCTAACAAGTGATATGATTTCTTTGCATTGGGCAACCCACCTAACTTTAAGACCATTTTAAAAAGAGATAGGTTTTTCTGAACTGGTTTTTTTTTAAAAGTAGGTTAACTATGTGATATTCTGGGTTGTTCTGGGTAACCCATACAAAATCTATATCACCACAATCGGGACCACAGCAAAATACCCAAATTAAAATAGATAACACGTGTACTGGTGTGTACAGAACCATCACCTAGGACTTTTCGTTTCACTTTACCCCGTGTTATAATGCCCAGCAAAGCTTTCTGAATCACATTTAGTGTAATCAAGCCTTTATATTGGCATCAGGTAACTATTACTTAATGAATGGCTAGGTAAGCTACCGTTCAAGATGCTACAGTTTTTATACTTTCTCAACTGCATTGGTAAACTGATGGACTAATGGTAACCTCAACAGCATGTGTTGTCTTCAACCGAACAAAGCTTTTCACTGGCCACATCATTGGTCCAGCTGAAGAATCAGATCATAGTAATGTGCTTCAAGGAAATGTAGAATGTAAAAAAAAAAACTAGAAATGCACCTGATTATATTTGTCAGCAGCTTTACCTCTACATAAGTGTTAACACAAATAAACCTAATGTGTATGTTATCAGTTCTTCTCTTTTTTCCTTGCAGACTCTTTGCAGTGAAATGCGGGTCCTGCCTAGAAACCATCACTCCCAGTGAGTTTGTCATGAGGGCACAAAAGAGCGTTTATCATCTCTCGTGCTTCTGCTGCTGTGTATGCGAGAGGCAGCTTCAGAAAGGTGATGAGTTTGTGTTGAAAGATGGACAACTTCTCTGCAAGAGTGACTATGAGAGAGAGCGGGATCTTCTCAGCCTGGTGAGCCCGGCAGCCTCTGACTCAGGTATATCTCAAACAAAGTTAAACTTTAAGTGAAACTCCAGAAAATACTTTTTTTTTAAATTTTAGCTAAATCGGGGAGGGTGTTAAAACCTCTGCCAATTTTCATGATCACTAGTTTCACTGTTGGGTAACTTTTCCCATCACTTTTGTTCTCGAGGTAAAGGTAAATGCAAGAAGGAAAATTCAACGCAATTCAAAGCTAATTAATGTTATATGAACTGTGCATTTTTTATAACACTTTAAAAGCTAACCTCACATGCACTACGTAAAGATGATTCTTTTACAACACAATGAATTTACTATATATATTACAATTTTCTAATTGAACAGTTTTCTGCACACTCCGTTTCATATTTGGCTTTCCACTGTCATGTTCATTCCCTGTGATTGGTCTTTCTTGCTTTGTATCGCCTTCTGTATCCTTCTGATGTCTAACTTTGAAAGAGCTCTCTGTAGACAAGAGGGTGAGAGAGGGGAAGCATAAGTTAAACCCAATTTTATTGGAAAATGTAGAAAGGAGGAGAGCAGAGCCACAGATCCCATATGCTAGAGCTAATCTCCAAAGCTCACACTTCAATTACAGCCTCTGTCAACTCAAGCACTCAATCCTATGTAAACAGAACCAACTCAAAAACCATCTACATTTCCAATTAAGTGCCCTAACTCTGCCTCTTCTTTTAATTCCCCCGAACCAACAGAGCCAGTGATTTAAAAGGAAAGAAAGAGATTGATAAGTGCGGCTTCATTATTCAGAATGTCCCCTATTCTTCATCTTCATCACATACTGATAATAAACATCTTTTGTACTATATGGACCTTACAATTGTCTAGAGCTATCCAAGACCAGCTCCTGTAAAGGTCACCAAGCTCAATATGGTTGCAGCTTCTCAGGCAGGACTAAGAGAAGAGGGTTAAGGCTTAATTAAGTATCCCTTCTAGTGTCTAAGACATTTAAAACTGCAGATTTCTCAGTAATTAAAAAGTCTCCCCTTGTTGAATTTGCATTGGTTTTAAGGGCTCTTTACTATTGTTTAACTTGAATATGATCTTTTCTGGCAGGTGGTGACAAGCTGTGCGATATTAGGGTGTCATAGTGTGGAGAGCTCCCAGTGGGCTCATGTTTGCTCTTTCCCAGTCTTACTGCTTGGTTGGTCATTTGATAGAGAGACCTACAGTGTGTAGATACAGTGAAATAACTGCACATAAAGAATAGAATATCCAATAGATCACCCAGGAAAAATATATTTTATTTTGCCTTTAAAATAAGTATATATGAACCTTCATAACAAAAAAAGATTTAACACATTGAATACTTAATTCAATCTCACATGATTTACTGCACTACTAATTTCCTCAGACCTTATGAGGCTGATGGATTAAAACTGGGGGGGGGGGGGAAAAAACACAAAA